CCCTTACAGAATGACAGTCGGAAGGGACCTCGGAGGTCATCTAGTCCAACCCCCTGCTCAAGCAGGAGACTTTACAGAATTACAGAATAATAGAAGGCACTTTGGAGGTCATCTAGTCCAACCCCCTGCTCAAGCAAGAGGCCCTTACAGAATTACATAATAACAGAGTTGGAAGGGACCTCGGAGGTCATCTAGTCCAGCCCCCTGCTCAAGCAGCATACCCTTACAGAATGACAGTCGGAAGGGACCTCGGAGGTCATCTAGTCCAACCCCCTGCTCAAGCAGGAGACCCTTAGAGAATGACAGAGTTGGAAGGGACCTCGGAGGTCATCTAGTCCAACTTCCTGCTCAAGCAGGAGACTTTACAGAATTACAGAATAATAGAAGGGACCTCAGAGGTCATCTAGTCCAACCCCCTGCTCAAGCAGGAGACCCTTACAGAATCACAGAATGACAAAGTTGGAAGGGACCTTGGAGGTCATCTAGTCCAACCCCCTGCTCAAGTAGGAGACCCTTACAGAATGACAGAGTTGGAAGGGACCTTGGAGGTCATCTAGTCCAACTTCCTGCTCAAGCAGGAGACTTTACAGAATTACAGAATAATAGAAGGGACCTCAGAGGTCATCTAGTCCAACCCCCTGCTCATGCAGGAGACCCTTGCAGAATTACATATTAACAGAGTTGGAAGGGATCTCAGAGGTCATCTAGTCCAGCCCCCTGCTCAATCAGCATACCCTTACAGAATGACAGTCGGAAAAGACCTCGGAGGTCATCTAGTCCAACTCCCTGCTCAAGCAGGAGACTTTACAGAATTACAGAATAATAGAAGGGACCACAGAGGTCATCTAGTCCAACCCCTTGCTCAGGCAGGAGACCTAGAACAACAGAGTTGGAAGGAACCTCGGAGGTCATCTAGTCCAACCCCCTGCTCAAGCAGGAGACCCTTACAGGATGACAGAATTGGTAGGGACCCCAGAGGTCATCTAGTCCAACCCCCTGCTCAAGCAGGAGACTTTACAGAATGACAGAGTGGGAAGGGACCTTGGAGGTCATCTAGTCCAACTCCCTGCTCAAGCAAGAGACTTTACAGAATTACAGAATAATAGAAGGGACCACAGAGGTCATCTAGTCCAACCC